CGGATGACCAGGGATCCAAAAAAGCATGACAACTGCTTGGAGAAAGCATTGTGGAAAGGAACCACATTCACCATCAGACCTCAAAAGAATAAAGCAGTTCATCCAGGAGAAAAGGTCTCACTGGCAAGGAGAGAGAGATGGAGGGAAAACAGTGATCCAGATCTGTTCAGCTTCAGCTGTGCCAAACAAGCAACCAAGTAAGACAACCTTTTACTCATGGTGAAATACTGCCATTTCAACTTAAGCAAACAGCCATTGAGAATCACAGGGACAGGGAAGGTGAAGGGAAAGTGTGGCCATATGGCTTACATTCAGGAGACCTGCATGAAGAGGATCTGGGCTCTGTCTCCAGCTCCGCCTACAGGCTTTGTCAACAGGCTGGGGTAAGTTACTGTCTGTCTCTTCTGTTTCTCAGCCAAAGAACAGAAAAAATTGGCCAAGGGAAATAAAGTCTTGACTGGAATGGGAAGTCATGTTATATCCAGGATCAACACCCACATTGAATTCCAAGATGCCAAAGAATACTCTGAGCACAACAGATTTATATTGGAAGTATCACCTCTGTATTTTAAAACACAATCTTTCAGGCATACAACCTTCTATAATTTAGTGAAGAAGAAAATAGACGAATACTCGAGGTGATCATACTATTCCTTCCTACAGCACTTAACAGCAACAGAGCAAAAAACCAGGAAAACTTCAAGTTCCCATCCTGCTCTTCCGATAGCTGATTAGAACACTCAAGGATTTGATATTTGTCTGCAGCTGCCCACACAAATAAAAGAAACTAGATAATGTAAAAAGTAATGATGTGCTGTATTAAGCTGGACTGAGAAAGTTACAGATAGCAATACCACCAATGCCTCATCTATTAGGTAAAAGGCAAGAAATAATGCTGGTGGTGTAGACATACAAAACACATGACATGGGTGGTATAGAATTACATCCCTAACAAGATGATGAAATGTGGACTCTGGCTTAGGAACAGAGGAAGGTGGGAGACATGAAGAATATATAATACTCATAACACGGGTATAGGGAAAAACCTGGAGTGCTCACATAGCCCATGTGTTTAGGCTGGAGACTGGATGGGGCTGGGGTATCCGTGGGCCTTTCTTCTAACCCAGACAAAATTGCTGCTTTGAGCAGATCATGCAGCACTAGCCTGCCTGCCTGTCTGGATTTGCAGGTACTTTAGCAGGGAAGGGAGAAATTCAAATGAGAGAACAAGTACACTTTTATTCAATGTGCATCTTGTGGTTTTGCAGGTTTTTCCACAGAAAATGTTCCTCTGAAGTTTCCTTAGTGACTAAGCCAAAATGGATCAAAGAGGTATTTGATTCACAGCCTTAGAAAAAAACACTTCTGTGTTCTCTTCTCCATCATTATCAGTTCTCTGTGGTATCCACCCTGCACCTTCCCTCACTGACCCTTACCTGTTGCTGGCCACATCACTCCTTGGGCCAGTCCTCTCCTTCTCCCAGAACAGCCTTTGGCTCATCCTTGCCCTACTCTTTCACAGTCCTGCAAACCACTGTCCCAGTTGTATCCTTCAGACAATATTTCCTCCTCCTGTGTCAGCTGTCCCCACCTCTTTGCCAGCCCGTGGGCTGCCATTTGTGGTACTGAGAGGAAGCCATCCTGTGTGGAGGTGACTAGGAGTGATTAAGTCCTGTGATCTGTCCACCAGCAAGAGAGAGTTTGTTTCTAATACTTCTGCCCAGATTTATTGGCTTAGCTTCCTTCCAGATGAACTCCCCTTGGCCCCTCAGCACAAGAGAGACATGGAGTTCCTGGAGTGAGTCCTGCAGAGGATAACAAAGATGATTAGGGGATTGGAGCATCTCTCCTATGAGGAAAGACTGAGGGAGCAGGGCCTGTTCAGTCTCCAGAAGAGATGACTGAAAGAGGACCTCATCAATGCCTGTAATCTCAAGGGGGTGTGTCAAGAGGATGGATCCAGGCTCTTCTCAGTGAAGCGAGCAACAGGACAAGAGGGAACAGACAGAAAGTGATGCACAGGAAGTTTTGTCTGAATATAAGGAAGAATTTCTTTATGGTGTGGATGACCAAGCCCTGGAACAGATTGCCCAGAGAGGCTGTGGAGTCTCCTTCACTGGAGATATTCAAGAACCGTCTGGACACAATCCTGTGCCATGTGCTCTGGGATGACCCTGCTAGAGCAGGGAGTTTGGACCTTTATGGTCCCTTCTACCAGACCCACTGTGATGCTGTGAACAGAGGTGTCAGGCAGCCATGCCCTTCATCCATTTTTGATAAGGAGGACAATGGTTCCTACCAAATGTTGTTCTGAATTGTCACTATCTCCTCATCCTGGGAATTCAGGCCCAGCTCAGTGCTGGACTTCTGTGCATGAGATGGGATCTGACTTAGGCACCATAAAGCTTATCCTGTGACATCTATTATGGGAAATATCTGAGAGATTAAAAAAATTCTTTATTCAAAGTTGGCAGGATCCCCAGAAGAAAGAAAGTAGATCAGTCCTGCCTTGCTGTGTTGGTGGTTGACCCCTGCATGCATAAGGCACCAGGGCTGCCTAGCCTGGGAGATGTCTCTTCCCTTTGTGCTGGCAGTCAGAGACCTCTCAGCATCTCCCAGCCACTGCCAAGAGCAGGAGCAATGCTGAGAAGGCAGACTCACATGCAGTGCCTTCTCCTCTTCTTCAGGGTAGGTGCAAAGGTTGTTCAGTCCTTCTGCAGTCAGATTCTCTGCAGCTCAGCAGCCCTCACAGCTACGTCCATAACTCTGTGTGCTGTGGGACTGAACTGACAAAGCTGAGGCACAGATTTTCATATAAAAATCTTGGTTCAACCTGCAGCAGATGAGGGCTAGTTCACCTCTAAGCAACACCTTGCTGCTTAATGTCATACACAACAGTTCAGAAGAATAAAATAAAAAAAAAAAAAGTTAGTCCCCTTACTGAACTTCCAGGGATCCGTAAACTTCTGCTTCTGGAGATATTTCAAACCTTTCTCACCAAAAATGGATATGAAATTGCATCTTCCACAACACAACCCAATTCCCTGTTCCCTGGGGTAAAGACAGCAGCTCTGACAGGCCTCTGCAGCCTCCCTTTCCTGCTAGGCAAATTGAGCTTTCATCTTAGATATTCTGAACGTCCTTTGAGTTCAGATGCTGCTGCAGAGCAGGAGTTCTCATACACAGTATGTCCGCAGTGCTGAGGTGAAAGGGAACCTCTTCATCCTGCCCTCTGTCAATTTGCATCTAGCATTTCCCCCATTTGCAAACCAAACCAGCCTCCCCAGACAGCTCAAAACATCTGGGCCACATACATCACAAGTTCAGAGATAACACAAAGGGGCACAAAACCCAAAGCTGAAACAAACAAGAGATTGACCCACGCACACGATTCTGCCTCTGGTTTCTACCTCAAATGCCCTGTCGCAGTGGCTAAGCCCACCAAAGCTGCACTGCAGAAGCCTTTGAGCACAGGGATTAAGGTAGAACCCCTTACTCCACTGCCACCACATCTGTGTGCAGCACCCCAGGGCTGTCTGTGCTAAGTCCTGCAAAGTACTGCAGAACAGCTGGAGGAGAAAGAAGAGGCTTTTCCTGTGACTTGCTTGTGGCTCCCAAGTTTGTTGGTTAGATGCAGAGTTCTGTAAAGTGCAGAGGGAATTAAACTCCCCAGTGTACATAATGAAGCTCCTGAAAAGTTATCCCTATAATTAGCTGTGTACAGAGCGAGCACAGTCACTGGGGGCACTGCTTTTACTCCCAGGCTTGTTTGCAGAACCAGAGCTTCATTTGTGTCCTATTTTCTTTCCCTGCAGCACTGAGAAAGAGTCACGTAGCTGTGCCCAATTTCTGCATCTGGCCAAGACAGACTTCAGGCATTCGTGCAGCAGGTCAGGGCCCTCACACCCTTCAGTCTAGACCAAAGACAGATGTGCATGACACTGGAAACACCTACAGTGCAAAGGCTCCTCACAGATGTCTCCTCAGAAGACCATCCCTCTCTACCTCTATACTGCAGAGAAAGGAATAAACCCTTCCTAGGGAGGAGCAAGCTATCGCTGTAAAAAGGAGCAGTTTTCCAACTGAGGGAAAGTGAGCAGGGTCAGGCAGGAGATACAGCCCTGCACATTCTAGGACTGGCATAAAACCAGGAGTTCAAAACCTTCATACATCACTGACATAAGGATTCTGGAAGGCAGGTGTGAGTCTGCTCTGCCTGGGTTCTGAGCCACTGGGATGTGAGACATCTCTTATCCTCAAAGCTGTAGTGTGACAAGGTCTAGGATGGGACTGGCTCCCCAGTACTTCAGAGGTCCTGATCCCTGTGCTCACACCTTCACACAGATCAACAACAAAGCTGCTTCATTCACAAGTCATTCCAGTCCAGTACAACCTCTGGCCATACCCAGGGCAAAAGCAGCAAGGTAGTCTGACACCTTAGATCCTTCCCCTCTCTCTGGGGCTCAGCCTCCAGCTCTTAGCATCTATCCTGTACTTCTCTAGTCTTTTTCAATGCACAAAAGCCACAAGGGCACCCAGCAGAATTCAGGCATATAATTTGATATTTTATCCCTGTACACACACTCATTCAAGAGGTCATCTGGTGCAGACAGTTCTCTTCCCTGGCTGTACCGATGGTGAGAGCATGCCTTACTCTGATCAACAACAGCCTCTTCTGGGTAAGATTTCTGACTGCAACATCTTAGGCTCATTCATTTTTGCTGCACCATCTCAAACCTGATTACCTAGTGCTGTTCTGATCCCAAAGCTTCACAGATATCTCCTATCCTGGTGGAAATATCTACGGACAATGGGTCATTTCCATAGGGAATGATTCCTAGCAACCAACCTGACTGGTTAGGCACTGCATTGGTTAAACTCAGAGAAAGGAGGTTTTTTGAGCTTACTCACTCATAAATACAGAGACTTTGTCCTTAAGTGAAAGACAAGGGGAGTGGAAAATAACATTTGCATAAAAATTCAGGCCATTTACTTACTGCTTTATTTAGTAAAATAAATGGAAAATTTCATGTGATATCAAGCAACACATCTATTTTAGTATCAGGAGGGGCTGACAGTGGATCTCAGCACGGCACCAAAACCCAAAAGAATGAAGGAAACAGATCCCTGGGAACTACTAGCTTTGCCTCTGATATTGCCATTTCACTATTGATATTTCACTAATATCAAAGGTGTTGCAGCCACCCTTTGCTTCAACAGAGTGGCACAGAAAGACATATTATAGGGCAATACCAGAGGTCCTGCAGTACTGAAAAAAAGAGATCTGGAGCCAACAAATGAGAAGAGATAAGAGATTCCTGGAGAGGATAGACAGCATGTATGTACATAGAATGATGATTGGAATCCATGACTGACTTGGCTCAGGAAGTGCTGAGCTGCAGGGCAGAGTGAACTCTTCATACACCAGAAACAGACACTGGCTACAGTCATCCTCTTGGCTGAGAATCAGAGTTCTTCATTGAGGGGCTTCTCCTCAGATTTGTCTTCTTTCTAAAACACATTAGAGGCATGAAATAAGTTTTGACATTACTTGGTTTCTCAGCATAGGGATAAAGAAAACAAAATAAATGCCTCCCTGTTCAACAGAGACAGAGAGGACTTTTCACACTGAATGAACATGGAGATTTAATTGTGCCTTTCCCAGAAGAGACCTCTGGTAGAGTCCTAAGACCCTATCTGTACACTCTATTCTGTAGTCTTCCTGATAGATTTAATTCCTATCCATGCCACTATCTCTCTGACCTGCTCTCATATGCTGCCATCCACCACGTCCCTTCTCAGCATCCAAAAGCACCTTTCACTTTGTCCCCCTAGATGCTGTTCCCAAAAAATAGATACTTCACAGAGACCTTCATACAGCTGCAGAGATCAGTGAATTCTTCTTGCTGTAGACTAGAAGGCAGAGGTCAATGAAGAAAGAGGCTCTGCAAAGACATCCATCTCTGCTCTGCCCTAAATCTAACGCTTCTCTGTTATTCAGGTGGAAATGTACATGAAAGAGAAAGTGATGGGGATGGGGAGGAGTTCAAGGAACTGAAGTCATCTTCTTCAAGAGCCTGGTAAACAACTGCATCAGGACCCCCTTTACCTTTTGCATTCTCTGTTGGAAACGATTACAGAAGTCCTGTACATGCTCAATGGAGATGTCATCCACAGTCAACAGATCATGCTCATCATCCGGTGTGTGGAATATAGCCAGAGCTGGCAGCTGGGACTTCTTCAGCTGGAAGTATGACAATACTCGCTCATTGCTCTTCAAATTGCTGTCTAATAGGATAAAGAGAATCTGCGATAGAAATAGGAAATAAAATGTGAGAAAAACAGAAGCTGAGACAGAGAACAGATCCCCAAAGAGTGGTCATATGAAGATTAACAGTGATATTTTTATAAAGAGTTTGAGAAAACCATCCTCTGTTAGGACAACACTTTCCTTGGCCACTATCTAGCAGCTCCACGCAGTGCATTTGACTGTATTTTATCAAGTCCAGACTTACACTACCAAACAAAATGTCTTCTCTCACCTTCTTTAAAAACATACCGACAGAATGACAGGAAGGCAGTCTCCACTTCTATTCTCATTATAGATTAGGACACAATATGTCTTTTGTCTTAACAGCAAATGTCAAAGAAGCTGAATCCTTTACTTGCATGTTATTTGGATAAGATGCTCACATCCATGCAAGACCCAGGGTAAAAAGGGGTTTTGGTGTGGGAAGAATCAAATTCAATCTCAAGAATGTGGGAAGGAAATACAGGGCATCAGGAGCCTGCAGGGATAAGAACACGGGAATACCAAAACCAAAGGACTTATCGAAGTGAGCTGCAGTGAGCACAAATGAGGATGCAATGATTTGGGAAACAGAAGTTGTTGGCAAGACACCAATGTCCATATAGCCCAGTTCAGTGGAGCATTCAGGCCTGGGGAGAGAAGCTCCACATGCATATCGCAGGATGAGAATGACCTATGGACATTATTATAAAATTTATAAAAGAAAATAAATATATAGCAGTTAAAAAATTTAATCAGTGACTTGATTAAATAGAATCCCTCAGCAGATGAGATCCAAGTCAATGAAATGAACACCCAGCTAGCATTTGTCATTTTATATTCTTTTTACCCTATGCAATCTGCTGGGCCTAGCATATCCAATGTACCTACAGACAAGGCTACGGTTTTACTTAAACAAGAAAAGGGTTTTTTTTTTAAAAAGGAGAAATGTAATGTGAAGATTATGTGCCCAGTTCCCAGGCTGTGACTCATGTTTTTCTTTCTTTTCAATGAAGAACACTCCAGTTAGTTCCAAACTTGTTTTCTTCTCTAAAAATAAACTTCATAAATCCTAAATTCTTTACTTATTAAATTTACATTCTATAAAAAACAAATATATCTGAAAACTTTCCTAGGCAACAGCCTATGGGAAGGAGGGATAGTTAGGCAGCTGTAAGGTTTAACTTCAGTTTTATAGTGAAATACAGAAACAGGAACAGCACTTTCACTGCATATGTGATATTCACCAGTTGTAATTTTTCTTTCAAAAGTCAACTCTGCCCCAAGAGCAAAAAGCTAGTGAGCAGAGAGGTTGTGGGGTACTTCTCCTAGAGTGTTTAATTCATCTTTTTGCAGGATAAAACAACAAGCTAGAAAACACATATTTAAGGTTCACAGGTCTAGGGACATGATCTAAGAGGCTTTCAGATGGAACAGCAGTATGTAATGTTTTAGGGCTCTCTTTTCAACTAGAAAGCTGGGAACAGAGGCCGGTGTTGGAGAGAAACACTTTCAGAGTGTCAGTACAGTAAATGGTACTGCATTTTCATAGTGAGTTCAGCAGCTTTGGGGTTTCTCTATAAGAGATTGACTAGACAAAAATATTTTTTTAAGCAAATGTTAAAGAAGAAGTCATTAAAATAAATTTTTTTAAAAAAGTGTTTCATTACTTCCTGTACAAAATCTCCACCACCTTTAGAACAGATGAAAAGCATTTAAAAATAGTAAAATGAATAAATGTTAGTCAATATTGTTCATATCATCAAGCTTCCAGATTTTCCTAAAACACACAGAACTAAAAAGCTGTACATATTTTATCCACAAATACCAAGAACAGAGTAAGAATAAAAGAGTAAAAAGGCTGAGGTTTAGAACACCAAATTGCTTCTTCCTCACAGGAGCAAACAGAAACACACAAACTGGCCTCTCAGCTAGAAAGGCTGAGATATCATCATGGTTCAGAGTTACTGACTTGGATCTCTCTAATGACTCCCATTTGGCTCACAGAGTTACAGTGTGCCAAAGTACAGCAAAGTTTCCTTCTCTGCCTGTATTCAAAACATACAGGAAAGAGAGCAATTGCATTTGGCCACCATAGCTCAGAAGAAGACACCTTAATGCCAATGAGAATGATGCATTCCTGGGAGGTCTGTGACATGGGATGAGTCCTCCTTCAGAAGAAGGGCTCACCATGCACCCTATGCTGGTTGTGCTCCAGGAGTCCTGCCAGGGCCTGTGTGGTCTGGAGGTCACACCTGTGGGGAAGAAGGTAGGATGTGTTGGCCCAGAGGCCACAAGCACTGGAAGGCTGATCTCCATAGCAGCTGAAAACCAAGACGGTTTCTCAGCTGGCACGTTTCTGTGACAGATGCCATCTCATGGAACTGCTGTTTTTTCATGAGGAATTTATTTTGTTCTGAGATTCTCAGTCAGCTCCAATCATAAAGGATGAGTGCAGTAACCATGGAAAATTATATTGACCATGAGGCAGGATTCACATTGCCTAACTTCTGCCATCCGGATCCTAGCCTTGTCTCAGCCAGTCATCTATGTAACCTCTACAATAAACAGTGACAGGCACTTTATTCCACCTATTTTAGAAGGGAAGGAAACATATTCCTGTCCTTCTTTTTCATCATTGAAAAGAGCATAAAACCTTTACTCAGATGACCTACCAAAGCTACAGTTCATCAAAAACAAATCACTCTTATAATGGCAGCTCTAATGTCACCACTAGAGATGAGTTAGTTCCATCCCAAACAGAAAGTTCAATTTCCATTTCATACTAGCCTGTACAATAGCTGGTTGGGTGTTTTAAATTCTGAGATTATTTCCATGAGGTTTTTTTTTCATTTTGTAGCAATCTTCTAGCCTGTGTTCAGAGATCTTCTTCTTCAGGCAGTGAAGGATATCCTGCATGAATGAGTAACCCCTGGCACAAAATGTCCCCTTCACACATGATATTATCTGTGCACTGTCACTTGCAATAAGCCACCTTCCATAAATTTTGCACACTGATACTGTCTTGGTGTCTTGACAAATTGATTCCTAGCCCAGTGCTTTTAGAACATCGAGTTCCTGGTAGATACTAAGACATGGAATAATGTTATTGCCCAAGAAATTAAAGTTAATTGAAAATAGCAATGATAGAAACCAATTTGTCATCGCTTGGTTTTTCTTCAAACAAAGAAAAACAGAAAGGATGGTCAAGCCTTATATCCAGTTTTGACTTTGAACTTCAGAGAGCTGCAGTTCACTGTTTCACATAAGCAAAAAGATCAGATTCTGATGTTTGAGTAATGTCTTACATCATAGTACATTAAAGTAAAACAAAACCATCAGTCACAAATTAAAAAAAAAAAAAAGACAGCTATTAAAACAACTTTACTGCAGATATCTATTAAGTGACATAAAAAGACCATATTTACAGGCTCCTCTGTTTATGGCTAAAAGAGGCATCTCTAAACATCATCTCTTTTAGTTCTGAAACCATCAGTATCTGACAAGAAGAATAAAAATTGTGCGAATGACTGCAAGAGAAAGGGCATCATCTTTTCATTTCCATGGAAGAACTCCTGAAGGACACCAGGAGTTTCTCAGAATGCATTTCCAAATGGACCTACTTCTAAATTAAAAGGGAGTTTACAAGCATCCCTGCCCAAACCACTTTGACATTGGAAACAAATTATGTCAGCTGCAACAAAATCTGCTTTTGTTATTCCAAACATCATCTTATTGAGACTTCTGCAAACACCCATGGGTTACACCAGCTGTAATTATCATGTTATATTCTGATACTGTGGAAAGAAAACTGAATATGCCTATTCTAGTTTGGCTCAGCAATGCAAACCCTGACATCTCCTTTCCAGTGCATTTCTTTCCTTGCCTGGACTCTTGGCAGTACTTTCTCAAATAAGCACATATTTGATTGAAGATCCAAGAAGGCGGGTGGATTTACTCTTGCAGCTGCAATGCTCTGAACCCGGTTCACTGTTATCCACCCACAATTGTTTCTCAAAGTGTGCTAGAAAATGACTATATTTCTTCTTATTGTTGTCAGCTTCTGCTGGCTTAGCATCATCTACCATTTGCATTTTCCTCTCCAATATTTTATAGCACCGAGGCTCCACAATAAAATCTAGAAAAATGTAGATGCCTCCAGGCATCCAGCAACTCACTGTTGCTCAGGGTGCAGTTCAGACTGTTTTCAAGTAAAAATCCTCACCATCCTACCTCATGGATCCTCCAGCTGAAAATTTCAGCTGCCCCTCAGGCAGAAGTGAAATTATCATAAACCAGAGGTGAAAGGACCACAATCCAGAAACTGGCAGGTGAATCACTTCCTCATGATCCATTAACAGTTGGACTCAATCATCTTAGGCGTGTTTTCCAACCTAAGTTATTTCACAATTCTGTGGTTTTTCTTCACACTTTGGGGTTAGTCTCTCAGCAGCAGCTGCAGTTCCTCTTCATCTCTCCATCCACATAATATGTTTCTCTTTTCCCTCCCATGATGGACAATGTGATGACAATGGCAAGGACGACTCTTCCATCAGCGTGCAGGAGAGATGTGTGTCAGGATGAGCACCCCTTCTCCTGCTTGGGACCCCCTTTGAGGCTCTGTCTGTGCTCTGCACTGGCTTGTAGAAATGCTGCAACACACCCCAAGTATCCCCACTCTTTTTTGGGGCTCTGCAGTCACTGTGAAGCAGTGCTGGATGCAGTGGTACATGCTCACAGGGAGCCTGAACATCTCTGCACTGCACAGCAACGCTTCCTTGCTCAAACCACTGGTAGCACCAACCCCTTTAGCACAAACAAGCCCTTCACCACTATCCCACAGGACAGGAATTATTCACTGGTAATCCTGAACAAAATTCAAGTCAAGAATCTTGCATTTATTCTCAGACAATCTGCAAGCCACTAAAAGACAAAAAAAAATTTAATTTATACTTATTTTGAAGCAAACCTCAATTAACTTGGTAGTTCCAACAACACGTAACTTCACACAGGAAAATTAGCCAGTAAGGATTTTCATGGTATTGTGCAGTGGCTTCCACTGTTACCCAAACTAATTCAAGTCTTTCTACATGACACAGGAATGGAGACAAACCTATGTGGGCATATCACTCTCTTTACTCCTTACTATCCAGATACTCCTAAAATTCAAACAGAGGGACCCTAGCACTGTCTCTCTGCTTTCTAGGAGGGCAGTCCAAAACACAATTTACTCCTCAGAGTGCCACTCCTTTGGGAAAAACAACTTGTTCGACACTAAGTCACTTCATCTCTATGTCCTCAAGTACCACAGCAGTAAAGTGGAAATAATTAGTCAAATTCCCACATCTTTAATGTTTATATTTTACTCTGGCAAACTTGTAGCCTGATTCGGTTGGAAACTTGCCTGCACAAATAAAAAGAAAAAAATAGATTTGGCTTGCTGAGAATTCATAAATTGTCTGAACTTCAGTAAAACATTTTATCCAATGTTTAGTGAAGTATTTCTAGGAAAATTATAGCCATTTTCTCAGATCTAGGCAAGTCACATGAAAACTAGATGCAGCTGCATCAGCAAAGGACAGTGATGCCAAACAGCATTGTGTTAGAAGAAATAGCTGCTAGGTGGAGACCTGTATCAGACTCGGCTTCTCATGGAGAACAGTGGTAATGGTGTCACTTTAACACACATTTCACAACAGACAAATGGAATTTTACAGATAAATGCATCTTGTTTTATAACTACATATTCATCAAAGCAAAACATTTTTGAAGAGACCTTTTGATTTTGATGCACAGTTCCTGCCCATTCTCTTGCCACTGGTTAGGAAAGACATAAAGGTTCCAAAGTAGTCCTGCCATAAGCAAGTCTCAAGATTTTTGAGATTGCATGGTTCTGAGGTGGCCCCTGGATTGGAAGGTGAGGGTATACTTGATTTCTAATCTGTTCCTTCAATACCAAAACCTTCAATATGCAAAAGATGCATACAGATATTTTAGTTATCAGTTCCCAAATCTTTCCAGCTCCATGCTTCTCAGAGGAAGACCTCCTTATGCCTCTCAGCTCATCCTTCCCACTTCTGTGATATTCTGCCCCCTCCCATTTGCTGCTCTTCCTTGCCACAAATGCCTTCCTGTTGCTCCCAATCCTCCTTTGCTTTAAAGCTCATTCCTCTGTTCCTCGGACAAAAATTCCACTGTAATCCAGCTGCTGGCAGAGAAGCAGACATAGCATATTTTACTATTTGGGGAGCTCTGTTCCCAGAGGGATGGGATTCAGGCAAAATTTCTCTGAAGCACCTCATCTATCTCATCACCTTAATGTGGGAAATCTAAGCAGTAAATTTGCAGCTCCTTTAAAATAGCCATTTCCAGAAGTCGAAGGGCTAAGAAGCACTGACATTATTTGCTGTCTGGTCACTTATATAAGATTCCTTGTTGTCCTGCAGGCTGTAGATACAAATTCACCTCTCACATCAGTGGAGCACAGCTGTTGCCAGACTGAAGAGAAGCAGCTGTGTGTCATCTCTCAGTACAAAGGAACAAAACTGGACTAAAAGCAACAAAGCACACCATGTTTCACCAAGAGAGCAGACAGGCAGGATTCAGAGGGTATTTCCCCTGTCAGGTGGCAAACTGGCAAAAGGTGAACAGAACCAACCCTTTCATTTAATTATCCAGATAAGCCCTCTTTTCCTGCTACTGGACCTTTGATCTCATAATTCACAGAGGAGATTATGCCCTCCCCATTCATGGCAGAAATGACTGGGTTTTTTCCTCCCTAACAGCCCCTCTTTCTCTCTGTTTGGACTTACCTTCCCCTTGTAGAGCTCTGCCGCCGCCCGAAACTTGCGCATTCGCTCAGGGTGCTTTGGAGACATCTTGTCCGTGATCAGGAGGAGGTTAAACTGCAAGGAACTCTGCATCACACCTATTGCTGTCTGCCCAGCACAGAGAGAGAAACACGGTAAAGGAGGTTGAGAATACTCAATTGGCATTGGATGCAGTGTCAGAGGGATGTAAATCCACATGGCTCAGCTGTGGTTTCTTTGCAAATCAGCATCACAAGCGAGACAGATTTCTTTAAAGCAGGGGGGATCCAATCTGGGTTCTTTGAAGAAACTCTTAACCTCCTGGCTTTTCTTATTCCCCAGACAAGAGTCTGAAGACCACAAAGGTCCATCACTGACCTTAAGATAGTCAGTGACTAGGCAAGGGGAGTAGGATTAGGGCAGAGTACAGGAAGATGAAGACTAGAGCAAGGATGTGAAAAGCAAGGCCAACAAACACTGAATATAAGGGTGTCCTAAATCACTGAGGTCCAGCATCTGTCTCAAATATGAGCATGAAAGTGGGAAGTTTTTGTGCTGTCAAGGTTGGTGCTTATCCTTATTTTCTTTCTTTAGTGTTGCACTGTATGTAGGATGGGGATGAGTCCACAGTTTCAGCAACCTGATGGCCTGGACACTCCTGAGTGCTGAGGGTTAAAATTGGCTCTGCTGTCCCACAGTGAGAGAAGACCATGGGCAAGGGCCAAGGGGACACTACACACTGGCCCTCTGTGAGGAACCAGGGCTGGCACTGCCCAGGGAGCCACGGCACCATCTCCATGAACTTGCTCACTCGCCATCTCTCTGCTCCTTCCGCCTGCTTCCTGCAGGCCTGCTGCCTCTCCCTCAAATTAAACAGTAGTGGGGCCAGACCTGCTGCCTCCCTAGTGCCACCGAAACCACAGAGGCACACACTGTGCCGCTCCCTGCCAGTGGGAGCAGAAAGTTTCCACATGCTCCAGCAGTAACAAGGAAGGGGTCAGGGAGTGCATGCTGGCAAGAGCTGTGAATAACAGAGCATCTAGCTCTTGGCAGACAGGACTCTGCTGTGTGCTTCATGTTTATCAGATATTTTGCATCTCTTCTCTTTTCTGACAGTGTGCAGCTGAGGCAGGGGACAGCAGAGGGGTTGCAAGCTAAGCTGGAAAACATTAGAGGACCTCATGGGAGAGAATGAGGCTGAAGGAGAGGGTGAAGCCAGCCAGCACCGAGCCCCTTGACAAGGCTGGGGTGAGAGCGGACACGGCGGGAGCAGCAGTACCTCCAGCAGCTCCACACAAAGGTGTGCTTGTCCACACAGCCTTGTGTAAGAGCAATCAGCAGAGCTCATCAGCAGGGCTGGATCACATCTGACTCTCCTGAAAAGCCCACAGGGTAAACATTGCTTAAAAATTCCTCAAGTATGTGGGAGAAACAGTAAGGGCCCCAGGATGGGGAGAGAAACTCTTGGCAGCACTTGGTGCGAGCCGTGTGACCCCATTATCTCCTGACCTGCAGCATTTTTGGATGCAAACAGCATATGCGCTGGGAATAAATATTTATGAAAAACCAAGCTACCTTAGGGAAGCTGGGAGGGTTTGGGGCCAGGGACTGCAGGAGGCACTGTTAATTTCAGCACCTTGATAGAGGTCCAGAGCTCCTGGGAAAAAAACCTGTAACAACATCTGTACTGACAGTCAGGGTGGAGGAGACCAGCTGAACAGCTGAGGATTTCTCAGTGAGAGAGACAGCCTGGGTGCCAAACAGGACACCATGCAGTGAGAACCCAAAGCATCAACAGAAATGCCTAAACAAAGAGATATTGTCCCATGAAACGCAAAAGGATCTAATAGGGGCTCCCAGGTTTCAGAAGGTCTGGAAAATTACAAAGATGAGAACATCATCCCTGCTGATGTGACTTGGATGTTCTTAAAGGGCTGTTAGGCCAGTGGGGCAGGATATAGCAATCTCCAGAAATATTTTGTGAATTCAGAATCTATTTTTCCCTTTTGAAGATGAAAAAACATATTTTTTTTTTCCTTTTCTTGGTTACAGAAAAAAGAGCAACCTCTTACCATATTTCACTGTGGGGAAAAAAAATGTTAAATTTCTAAACAAAATACTCTCCTACTGGTGGGTTGTGACTGAACTGATTGAGTGCATCTGTTCTCTTAGGTGATCCTTGAGTTTATATTGAAAAGGTATAGCTCTGCAACAGGTTGGGCCATTCTTCTCTGATATAAACTGAGCCTGGTCAGCACTGTTATAGCTGTCCAGAAGGCCACAGAATACCCCATCAGCAATGATAAAGTCTCAGCCATGCAGCAACTGGGGCTTCTAAGACCTACTGACTCCATAGCAATGAGACCAGGGAAGTGCTGGGATTTCAGAGGAACCTAAATCCTTGGTCAACCTCTATAGCAGGGAGGAGCACTGGGACCCTGCTAGTTAGATGGGTGAGTTGAACTGATGAATTCTGGAGAAAGGATGGAAGGGATGGGAAAGATTTTGCTTGGGAAGTTCCCAACTCACTCTTGAATATGCATTCCAATATCAGGGCTTACATCAAGCCCCGTGTGCTGAGTGATGCAGAAAAGCCTGCCTTCTGAGAGCAGGTCATTTGAGCTTCCATGTTTCTCAAGGCTTGTCAAAGAGAGGGCATTCTGGCTGAGCTGGCTCTGCAGGCATGGCACAGCACGGCCAATGTCCATGGGATGAGGCAGCACTGCATGCAGAGTATTAAGAAGTGGAGTTTTCTGCCCCTCAACATCCCAAATTTACTGGAAAACCGAACTGTGATGAGTTTCTTTGTCTCCCACCGCACTCATGCCCCAGCAAATCTGCTTCCAGTCCACGTGCGGAGCAGCAGTGAAGAGCTATGTGACTTCCTCAACCCCATCTACACCATCGCTGCAACCCTCACACACATCTGGGCATGCAAACTGGGGCCAGAGGATACCATGAGAGGAAGGCCAAGAGCGAGGGTGAGGACTGCAGGGAGCTGGTAATTACCACAGGGTTGTACTCTGTCACCAGGCGGAGCTCGTTCATCCGAACGAAGCGAGTCAGCTTCTTGGCATCAACATCTCTGTTGTTCATGTCCAGATCCCGCCGGTCATTGTCCACCTGAAGACAGGCAAGGACACCTACAGTCACAGCTGTCCTCTCCAGGAGCTCCTCCAGAGGTGCTGATTGCACTCACTCACAGAGACACCCACCCCCTGGGACACCACCATCCTCTGTCCCACACTACACAACCCCCACCTCTTCCCATCACCACTTCTGGAGGCCTAGAACCTGCAGGGACCAGCCTGCACTTTGAGATAAGGATCTCCCATCCTTCTCCAGCCTCCCAAGGACAAGAAAATCTCATGATACAGCAGAAATCTCTCAGGACTCCAGACATCCCCACGCTACCAGCTCTCAATGCACTGGAGACAGGGAGAATTAGCTGACAAACTGTTCTAAGCATTGTGGAGGGAAGTCATTAAATAGTCTAACTCCTCACATCAATACTGGCTTTACGTCCCTTTTTAAAATCTTCATCTGTTTATTCTGTTTCTTCTACAAGTAATAAACATTGGCATCACCCAGTATGGAATTCCTGGAAACATTGTGCAAGCAGGAAATCTCTCTAATAAAAAGAGGATTTTTCTTCCAGTACAGCAGGAAAGGGAAAAAAAAAAAAAAAAAAAAAAAATATTAAGTCCAGCATATTTCAGCTTTAGAGGAAAATCCATCCTGCCACACATCTCCCCACACTTCATCCCCTCAAAATGATGCGATTTTTTTTATATTTTTATGACCTGATAAACAGAAAAAAAGCAGGTAACCACTGAATGATAGCAGTACACCAGAGTTTAAGGGCAGAGTTCCTGTGCAGTACCACCACAGGATGTGACTGAGGGACATGGGGACAGTGGTCTCTGACATGAAGTAGGATCAAAGTTTGGGATTTGAAAGCCATTGATACACATGTTGAATGAGGTTCTTGGGGCTGAGCAGCAGTCCACCTGCACACCCCAGATTTTATTCTCTGTGGCTGGGCAACCTCTGAAAGTTCTTGTGTTAGTTTTTCCAGTGGTGTGCAGACATCTAAAGTCATTTTTGCTGTTCTGTGGTCATTGGCAAGGTCTTTAATACCAGTCACCAGCCCTGTCTGACAACACAAGCTGGTGATTTTCAGACTGTGTGGCCCAATTCCTCTCACAGGTTTTCTTCCTGCATAACATGAAAGGGCAGCTCTGCTCAAGTAAATAAGATCAGGACAGTTCAACACCTGGGTGGGTGAGATCAGACAGGCTTTGAGAACCAAGCTAAAGCAGCCCGGACTCTACAGAAAGTCTTCTCTTGACTTTTGTGGGCTTCTGGAAGCATCTGATTTCCATTTGGGGATAATAACAACTTGAATCTGCACTCAACATTTATGTTTTTAAGAAAATAAGGCTGAAAAATAGTCTGCATTCAATAGTTGAAGCTCTAGTCAAAATGTCTTTATCACTCCATATAATTAGGTTGTTAGCATCTGTTAATTATGTTGTTTTTAGGTCTATCAGGATTTGTTACTAGAAAAAATCAGCTTCTTTCCCATATATACAAAGAAGTCTCACCAGTTGACACAGTCCCTCCTACTACTGTAATTATGGCTTAAACTTCTAAGCATTGTGTTTCATACATTGCAAAGGCAAAGAAAAAATTAATTTATGCCTCTGATTCACTTCTATCCTGGTGACGCATCTTTGTATCCTTCAAATGAGTATTTGATTCCAAGTTCCTGTATCCGTTCTTTTAAAATTCCTTTTTATCTCTGACCTCTTACTCCTACATATTATTCAGCACCGGATAAAAGGAAAAATAATGTGTCTGATAATTTAAGAAAAACTGACAATCAGACGAGGGAATTGTCAACCATATTTGAACCTAACTAGTGTATTATTTTCCTGGCTGGTTTTTCCCCATATTAAACAAGAGTTCAGTTGCAAAAACTTGGCTCCAAACAAAGAATATTCAATATAATACAAATTGCAACAATCCAAACACTTTCTTTTATCAAACTGTCTCCCACTGCAGTCATCCTCACTATCTGCCACAGTGCAAAAACAAAGGAACTTTTCAATATTTTTGGAAGAAAACCACAGTGACTAAGAACAAAAATTGAAATGGGTGTTGCTTAAAATTGCAACATCTAGCAAATAAAAGGTTAAATAAAAGGACCTGCCTACCTATTGCTCACTCTTAGATCATCTTTTTTTAATTATTTGGATAATATCAGTGGTAAACATGGTGCAGGAAATGATGAGGGGAAAAAAGAGAACAAACTGTCCAATCTTTGTACAAGCTGGATCTAGAACTTGGCCAAGCTGCCATATTTAGTTTCCCTAGACCATGTTACCCATTTCTCCCCACCTCAAGCACTTAGACGTCTGGTGTCACAACATTTCACTGGCTTTTAGGACATCTTGTGCTGCCTGGGGCCCTGATCCTCTTCAGACACACCTACCTCTGCAGTTTTCAGCTGCCATATTTGTGTGAGGAGGGGAAACATGGGAAAATTGATGTAACTAGTAGAATACTTGCTCTGAGCTTTTCTTGGTACTTTTGCAACAAGTACATGGCTCTCCCCAGTATCATCTCCCTAAATTTCAGCAGATATAGCTATACTGAGGCTACATTGAGCTGCCTGCACTTAGAGGCAACAGACATCTGACCTAGCACAGCATCCATCCCTAAGAAGCTCCAAAGCAAGATTTCTAATGCCTAAAGTATATTTAGGAAATGAGTCTTCAAACCACAGTGTAGGGTGGCACAGCATCTCTTAACTGCAGAGACCTAGTCTGGATCTGTTTCCTGTCATGATGGAAAAGTTTTGTACCCTAGGAGACAGCTTTGGCTGCCTGAAGTGACACTTGCCAAGTTTTGATATCAAGCCTGCTGTGTTGATCCATTGTAACATGGGCTCTAGACGCTTTTCATGTGTCTCAGGACCCTTTCCAAAACCACAGAAACCTCATCCAAGTTCATGCCAAGCTCCAGGCAGGTCATGTAGAAACACAGGCATCGCTCTTTGCAGAGCAAAATGCTGAACCAGACCCGTAGGACAAACACCTAAATAGGAGAATCTTACCAGATATAATTAATGATCCTTGTCTCAGCGACAGGCACTCTGCAATTGAAAAGCAAAACCCCTCTTTGCGGGGGGAAGAACGATGTACTTTGAGGTGGGCAAGCAGCCTGACTGCCAACGACAACCCTATTTTTTGGCTTGCCCTAAGGAGAGATAACTTTTATGCTTTTTACCGCTGTACGCACTCCTCCCAGTGTGTCCCACCCAGACCAGCGCGCTGGGGGAGCCGGAACCAGACCCTTATGCGGGACACGCGGGTTTTTGCCTGGCAGCGTTCCCGGGAGGGAAGCACGCACCCTGCGGAACAGCGCCACGGTGTTCTCCGGGGCGCCGTAGTGCGACAGGACGGCGGCGCTGCTGCTGAGCCCGAAGGACACCTCCGGCATCTCTCCGGCCGCCCGGCGAAACACGTCCGCTTCGGGGCTCTGCGGGTCCTGCGGAGGGACAGGAGAGAGGGTCAGGGGCCGAGCGGATGAGGGGCCGAGACCGAACGGGG